TGATTACCAGAGCAATTATAAGCAATGCAGCCAAACGTTGAAGATACTTTCATGCTACTTAATCCTGTTAATTCAAGTGTTTGAACTCTCTTTGAATTTCTGTTCATCATGGAAGCATTGGTTTGTTGTTTTGCAGCCTTTTCCCCTTCAAACCAACTCAGTCTTTAGTAGTTCCAGTTCTCCATCGAATGCCCTCAATGTAGGTCCCATTGGTATCGGAAATGCCCAAAGGAACATAAATATTCATATACATGCTGGTAGGTGTAAGCTATTTCAACCAAGACCGTTATTGTCTTTTTCTTTAAGCTGAAGCAAGGTGACTTATTGTGTTTAATTATTTCCATTATTATCACTTATCAGGCACCGCACTGGCACCTGTGGTTTCAGCATTTGGTAACAGAACAAGCCATGGTGAAGGGGTGCAAGGAGAACGTGTTAATAATGCTAGTTCTGGTCCAATGCGGGTTCTTCCCATGCGAAACATTATTGCTGCTGCTGGTCCAGCACATTCCACTGGTGTAGTGTCTAGTGCAGCACAATCTGCACCCATTGATTCATCTCTATCCTCTGCTCTTGTGGAAGTTAATTCAAGCCTTCGAAACCTTGTTAGTAATGTGCAGGGGCAGAACCAGGTTGTATCAGGTAGCTGGCTATTAAGTGGTATAGATGCTAATAACCACAATGTTACTTGTTCATACAGTATGTTATTAACATGCACGGAGAGAACTGTTTGCATGAGGTATATGGTAATGAATGGTTTTAAGATGCAAATAACAACAACGCCATTTGTCCATATGGATTCTGTGGTATTTAAGGTCAATCTAAATCTGATGTGAAATTCATGTCGTCTCTGGTGCAGACAATGATGCAGGAACTGGACAGCCTGATAATATGACTGCTAGCGGAGCAGGGGATTCTAGTGTTGCATTTCCAGCAGTTCATGAAACCGAAGAACAGATGGTGTGCTTTTTTCAGAATAAGCTTAAATGATTCATTAGAAATTGTGTTTAGTACTCTAACTTGTACTCAGTTACCATTAAATCTCAGTCACAACAGCAACATGCTGAACATAGTAGCAATGTTACCAAGAGTGGTAAGAGTTCAAAGGATGTATCAACTGGCACTGTTGGATGCATTCCAAGCACAAGTGGAAAACTCTTGGTAAATTCAGAAGACTCTTCAGCAAGTGTTCTGAGATCCACCGAGGAAAATGCTAAACCTGTTCCACTTGGATTGGGTTTTGGGGGATTGGAACGCAAGGTGTGATGATAATTTCTTATTTAATTCTAAATTTTTCATGTTAATATAAAAATTGATAATATCCATTGTGGTCAGAGACGGGTTAACCAGGCAAAATCATCTCTCAGTACTGGAAATACTGGAACAACCAGGTCTCTTGATCAGAGCTCAAGTGCTAGAATGATTGGTCAAAAGACTTTGCAGTCACTTAAATCTCCGAGCTCTTCTTCGGATAGGCTGGGATATGATGCTTCCTCAAGTTATCGTAGTGTTCAGAGTAGTAGATCATCAGGAGTGCAAACATCTGATGATCAATTAGATGTTGCTAATGCTGTCTCTCAAGTTCTTGAAAGCCCTGCAATAAATGGATTATTGACTGGGGTTTCTGAGCAGACTGGTGTTGGTTCACCAGATGTTGAGGAATATGTTGCAGCAACTCACTCAAAGTCCACAAATAATGAACACTGTCAATCAACTAGCTCAGCAGGTTGATAGCGAGGATATTGGAAACATGTTTTCAGGATTGGGAGGACAAGGTGGTGGAATTGATATGTCATGCATAGTCCAACAAATGATGCCTATTGTTTCTCGGGCTCTTTGTTAAGGGACATCTGCACCTCCGCCATTTCATGCTGTAGAACCTAAACCACAGGTTCATTATGATGGGAGGAAGTCTAATGCAGCTAATAAGCCTTGTGATAGTAATTTTCAGGTTTTCCTAATTTATATTTTGTTACATTTTTATCATATAACAGTCAATTAAATAGTAAGAGATGCTGACATGGGGACTGTTATCATATCTGTTATATCATCTAGGACAATGTTGGACAAATAGCTCAGAGAATTGAGCAATTTAATTCGCCTTGTGACGTCTTCCATGCGGTCGAAGAAAATGCAGTTCAGGTATATGGCAATGGAAGGAATGCAGATCTTTTGAGTGAGTTGTGTGGTGATGAGGATCTTGCTAAGGTACATATTCTGGCTGTACGACATTCTGTTCTTGTCTTTGATGTGTAATTGTGTTTCCTTGCAGTTAAAGCCAGTTGCAGTTAAAAAATTGCTTCCGTTATAAGGAAGAGGGATTAAGCAAGGTTGTCCTTTCAGTCTGCCTAATTTTTCTTGCTGATGATGTTATGGAAACTCAATAGTATTATCTAACACGTCCAGGAATACATCGAGATGCTACACCAGGACATACGTCAACGATTTCAGGATAAATATGAGGAGGACAAGTGCTAGCATTTCTTCATTATGAAAATAAAATATTGCAATTTGTTGAATGAAGGTCTGCCTCTAATTACCTCCTGCTGTATTGAGGGGCGGGATCATTTTCGTTGTTTTACATCTCGTAATCGAGGATGTTCTTGTATAAGCTTTGGCTTACGTGGGGGGTCGTGTTTGGTATTATGCTCTTCAATTTACATTTGATTTGTTTGTTCAAAAGTTTGTCATGTTTCATTGAACATTAAATTGAAAAATGTCATTGTGACATTATATGCTTCCTCGTAGGATTCTTGGAGTGGAGTGAAATTGGTAATCTTTCCTTTTTTTCATTCTATATTGGGCTGCAATCAATGGAACGTGGGAAATTTATTCTAATAAAATTTGTAAGTTTGAGATCTGAATTCACTCCTATTAAAGAGGTTCAACGCGAGAAAACCTGGAACATGGAGGATCCAGAACTTGAAATTTTATTAGGTTATTTTTAATAAAATTACGAATAGTGTCGATGGTACACGTCAAATGAGTTGATAAAACGAGGAGGAAAATTGACATCGCCAATTCTATTTCATTCTCTTTTGTATTTGGACTTTGATCGAATAATTTGGAAGAGATCGGCCTTGTGCAAATTAGATGGGTTCAGTTCAGATGAATTTACCTCCACTCCAGGTTAGGGCCTTAAAAGGAGATGAGACACATGTGGTGAATTATTAGGAGATCGAACTGAAATGATTTATTTAATACTTGATTCTAAAAACTCGCGAATAAATCGAAAATATAAGATATCAATATTTTACTTAAAAAAAATTAAACTATTAATAATATTAATATTATGTTGATTTAAAAAAAACGTAGTATAAAATTTTCGTGTATTCAAGGTCTAGGTTTGAAATTGAGTTTCAATCAAGTTAAATTTATGATTTTTTTTCCGTTTTAAGCTTTTTCGAACTTTTACGAGCTTCAATTTTACGAGCTTCAATTTATGATTTTGAGTTTGAATCGAGCTAAAAAAAAATTAAGCTCACGAATTTTCGAGCTGAGTCGAGCTCTATTTTAGAGGTTTCAAGTCGAGCCAAGATCAATAATATTCAAACTAGACTTTACTCCAGGTTTTATTACTAAAACCTACTTCCCTTTTGGTTAAAACAGATTTTACCTTCGACAAACCAAACAATTTTTATTGTTATACTTTATGTCCCAAGTTTGAGCAATATGAATGCTAATGAACGTTTATTATCAAATGATTTAGAGTTTTAAATGTTTTAATACCTAAATAAGCGCCTAAACTATATCTTTTTTTCTGAATAGATGTCTAAAGTATTTTTTGACTCATTCTGGTGCCTAACTTACAAACGTTACAATTTTATGTGCTCGGACCGTCGACGACATTAATTTCATACGTTAAGTTGCACATTCCACAATATGGTGATTTTTCAAATTTATTGTTTTCAAAAATTATAAAAAAATATTACGATATTTATAAAAAAAAACATTGATTTTTCTTAAATTATAAAAAAAACTCAAATCCCTAAAATCTCCAAATCTTAACCTTAACCCACCGTCATCGCATTTTTCTTCCACTATCATCACCATTGATGTAAGCTCTGTCATCCTCCTAGTCATACGCCGCCGATTGGTCGTCAGAATCGTGTAGGATAGAAAGTTTCATCTTAGGATTCGTAGGGTATAAAACGTTGATTTCCCGTCAATCAGTTACGACTTGATAAGAGTTTTGGTCTCCATGATTGGTGAGGTCGTGTGGAGCTTCGTCGACGGCAAAGGGTGATGAGCGGCGTAGATTAAAAGTTGTAATGAGGATTTTCAAAATTTTGAAATTATTTTAAAACATGTATTATATATATATATATATATATATATATATATATATATAATTCCCCCACTCTTCGTCCCAAACCTTTCCTCCCCAACACTTCTTCAAATTTCCAAATTAATCAATGATGACAATCGATTATTAAACCTTATTTCCAGATTAAGGTTTATTTTTAGATTAAGGGCTACTAGTATTAGGGAGTAGAGATTTAAGTTGAGGAATTTAGGAATCTTGAGGTTTGAGATGATAGCAATGGTAATAATCGATTATTGGGTGACCGACAATGAATAAATGATCGTTCGATAACGATTGGGTTATCGAAAATGATCGACAATCGAAATAAAGTGAATTAAAATAAGAGATTTTATGAATTATAGAGTACTTTGTGTAAAATATTAAAGTTTAGAGTTTTTTAAATATAATAATAATATTTTTCAAGTAGTTTTTTTTAAAAAAAAATTAAATTATTAAATTGCAACATGTGTCATTTAACTGTAAAAATTAACTGTCATTATATCTTGAACACTTAAAATTATAACATTAAAAATATTAAACACTAAAAATAAATTAAAAAAATCATCTATTTAAAGAAACGACATAATTTAAACATTTATTTTGGTATTAGAATTTTTTAAATAGCTATTACCTTTATATTCACTTGATCAATTAAAAAGAAAATTATACCTCCGGCTTTTTACCTATCTTTTTCTCATATTGACCCACTGGGGTTTCAGATTCACTTGAACCCTGCCTGAACCTGAATCTTATGCCTTAAGAAAGTGGTGAAACAACCCTGAGTTGCCCACCCCAAACGCAGTTCTATCGCAACTACTTTCATTTATGGAAGCTGATACCAAACCAAAGAAACCTGGAGCTCGACTCTGTTGCGTTTGCAACCAGCGAAGGGCTGCCCTCAAAAGACCTAAAACCCTAGAGCAGGTAATTTCTTAAACTTTTCTTCCTTACGGCGATTCAGTTTCAAACTTGCATCGAATTTTGGAAATTCATCTATTTTCATCGATTGTAAAATTGTGCCATGGTTAAAGATATGCAGAGAGTGTTTTTACGCGGTGTTCGAAGAGGAGATTCACCAGGTTATTTTAGAGAATAAGCTGTTCAAGCCTGGTGAGCGTATTGCTATCGGTGCCTCTGGAGGGAAAGGTTAATCCCTTTATTCAATCAGATATTAAGCACCTCTCACTCTCATTGCAACAATTTCGAAACTTTTCTTCTCGTCCTTCTAATAATATCTATAACTGGGATTGTTGCAGATTCCACAGTCCTTGCTTACGTGCTATCAGAAATGAATCGACGACATAACTATGGCCTTGATCTTTTCCTTTTATCTATTGACGAGGGGATAACAGGGTACAGAGATGACTCACTTGAAACTGTAAAAAGAAATGAACTTCAGGTCAGTTTATTCTTTTTATCTTGTTGAATTTCTTCCAAAAACTTAATTCTTGTTTGTCCAAAAGAAATGTCTATTTCAAGCTGTTTGCTTTGATTGTTTAGGAACTCTTTCTTCATTTTTTGTGATGTATCGTTCTTCTTGTTTTCTTATGCAGTATGGGCTGCCACTAAAAATTGTTTCCTACAAGGATTTGTATGGGTGGACCATGGATGAAATAGTAAAGATGATTGGCTTAAAAAATAACTGTACGTTTTGTGGTGTTTTCCGTCGTCAGGTATAAGAGTTGCTGTTTTCATTAATTCTGCTATTTCTGTTAGGCTGTACATGTCCTTCATATCTGAATTTTGGGATGGATCCTTCTTCCTCAGAACTGACTCATGTCCTATTAATAAATTTAAAAACAACTAAATTGATCAACTCCAATTAGGGGAGTTTATAGACGTTTTATATGTTGTAGAATTGCCAATATATCATCTGTAGTTTTAGCACTTTGCATTGTTTCTGTGGTTGAGGATAAAATCACTTGTTTGACTTTCTTTTTGTTAAAGGCCCTTGACCGAGGTGCTGCATTGCTGAAAGTCGACAAGGTTGCTACTGGACATAATGCAGATGATATTGCTGAAACTGTCCTTTTGAACATATTACGAGGTGATATTGCAAGGTAATGTATTACTGAACTTTTTGTTTCCTTTTGGCTCAATTGATTGTTATGCTTTTTTTTTAAATGATTGTTTTGCTGAGATAATGGCTTTTTCTTCTGTAGGCTGAGTAGATGCACTTCAATTATTACTGGTGAAGATGGACCTATTCCAAGATGCAAACCTTTTAAATACACCTATGAGAAGGAGATTGTGATATATCCTTGAAATGGTTGCCGTTCTGAAAGTTTTAATTGTGAACTAATTTATAGTAGTCAAGCATTTCACTTGGTTGCAAAAACCTTAACAAGTTCTCCACGTATGCTTATTTCAGGAAGCTGGACTACTTCTCGACTGAATGTAAGTGTTTCTTGCCATTCCTTTTTGTTCCTTTTTCCTATTATATTTGGAATTTGATTGTTTTGAGTTGTCAAGCTCCTTTGTTAAGGTTTATGTTTAGAGGGTATTGCAGCACGTCCCATAATGTCACACTAACAAACTGGTGGAGGTGTTTAAATTTCAGGCATTTATTCTCCAAATGCATATCGTGGTTTTGCTCGTGAATTCATAAAGGATTTGGAGAGAATCAGGTTAATAATACCTTTGTGTTTCCGCCCTAATCTCACATATGTGAAGTTTGAAAATTTTGTTGTTGAATGCTTTTTTGGCTTACTATTTCAGGCCCAGGGCTATACATGACATCATCAAATCGGGGGAGGATTTTCGAATTGCCACATCCACCAAAATGCCTGAGCAGGGAACCTGTGAACGATGTGGTTATATTTCCAGCCAGGTGAGAATTTCCTTTTACCTTGCCTGACACCTTAGGATTGTTTAAACTTTGGCATGTATTTGTTATGCGTTATTTATGATAAAGCTGTGCCTTCCACTAGAGTGTTTTTAAGCACTAATAGCCGTCTGCAATGTGGCTGAAACTTATTTATCTGTATACTTGGGGGTACAGAAATGGTGTAAAGCTTGTGTCTTGCTGGAGGGGCTGAATCGAGGTTTACCGAAGCTCGGCATCGGTCGTAATCAAGGCCTAAACAAGGATGCCAAGAAAGACATTAAAAAAGATGGCAGAACAAAAAGTATCGAGAGCAAGCAATGTGGAAGTTTGGATTTCTGATGCAGTGTGTAGCCATTCATCCATGTCACTAGTTTATTGTTTGTTTATGGAATTATCAAAACTGTTGTCAGATTGGCCTCTCAAGTTCTCAAAAACAAAGCAGTTCATTGCACACTAGCAAGTGCTAGAAGGAAAGCATGGTTGTGTTGAATCATTTTTGGATGAAGGACAAAGGATAATAAGAACAAAGCATCTCTAGTTGGCTTGCGAGCCCTGCTCTCATTGCTTTTGGGAATTTATGGAAGAGTTGTGTTTGAATCATTTTTTGTAAACTTTCTGTAACATCCTCAATACCGGGTTAGTGATTAAATTGTAAAGTCTCAGAATTTGGTAGTTAAAATAAAATGAATGAATAGTATAAAGATTTACATGTAAATTATTGTGTAGGATGGAATTGAAAGGAAGAAGGAATGAAAGGACAATAGAGTAATTGCAAGGAAAAATAATTAAAGAAAGGATAAGTATGTATATATAAGGATACACGTGGGTGGAAGGAGAGAAAACAATCAAGACTTCCAGAGTTCTCTTTTTCTTCTTTCTTCCTTGTGGTGTGAACCAAAACAAAGGTAAGATTTTTGATTATTGAGTTTCTTGTTAAATTTAATATTGGGTTTTGATTAATAGATGATAACTAAGTTTAAAGAAAGCTTAAGTTATCTTAAACATCAAATGATGATGGAGTTAGGTGAGATTTAAGATTTGAAGTTCTTAAATGAAATCTTGGAATAGAGTTCATAACTAGAAATGAAAGTTAAATTTGACTTGTCATCAATCTAGTTAAGATATACGAAGTGTTAAAAGTGGAATTCAAACATGTTGAATTATTGATTTAATTCTTGAATTACATATGAAGGATAAAATTTGGAGGTTTAAGATGAAATAAACGAGTATAAATTGGTTTAAAGATGTGTATTATAGTTAAGAATGAAAAAGAAGATTAAACATGAAGGATTTAATCCAAAATGAATGAATTTTCGGGTTCAAAAAGAGGATTCTGGGCAGAGTGCATCGATGCATATTCATAGTGCATCGATGCATCAAGGTTAAAACCCAGAAAGTGTTTGAAGGTGTATCGATGCACAGGTAGTGCATCGATGCACTCTTTTAAAATAAAAAGATCGAATGCAATTAGTGCATCGATGCATAAGGCATGCATCGATGCATCCCATTAATAATAAAACATCGAATGTATTTTATGCACCGAAGCACAAATAGTGCATCGATGCATACCTTCATTAAAAGAGAAAATTGGCATTTATCTTAATCTAAAGAGTGAACTATTAGAGTAAATTAGCTTTAATACTGATATAGATCCATGTGTGATTATGTAGATACTAAAAGTAAGCTTATTCCGGAACGATCAAAGGATTAGAATCGAATCAAAGCAAAGCTAAGGTGAGTGCATACTATATGTATAGTATAATGGAATAAGACTTGTGATAAGTCTAATTCCTATATTTATTTTCATAGTACAATAGTTGTGAACATGCATACATGATAATTATTGTAATACATGCATAAGGCATATATATGTTCATGTGATTGGATAAATGATGTATATATATGAATAGATTCAAATACACATGTGATATGATATATGATATGAGAACATGACATGAGCTACATGATCACAAGAGAAATGACATGAGCTACATGATCACAAGAGAAATGACATGAGTACATGAACATATAAAATATAAGAATAATGCCCATAGTATATGATATGAGAGATATAGGTGTAATTGGCATGCCAAGAGTCGAGAGTATAATAGTCCTTCGGGATGTAGTGGTCTTACGGGACATATATGACAGTCCTTCGGGACGAATACTAAACTAAGGTTCGGTGCCTCATGAGGGAATTGATACGAGCTGTGGTGACAGCATTAGTGCACAACCTCTATGTACTCACATACCTCTATTCTCAATAATATACATAGGCAATTGAAATACAAAGTAAGGTGAAAATGGTACAAGAAGGTAAGTTTTGTACATGCATGATATGATTATATATGTTATTGTGTAATAGATACATGCATATTGAAATGTCATGAAGGAAATGGTAAGAATGCATATTCATTAAAATATTGTTGCATATTCATGAAAATATTGTTACATATTCATTTATTGCCTCACTAAGTCTATGACTTAGCGTGTAAGTGATTTACACGTAGGTACCAAGAAATAAGAAGATTCAGAATAGCAGTGGCACGGACAACAACATTACTAAGAAATCAGATCAGAAGTAATTGACAAAATAGATATTTTGTTGTGTATAAAGTGTTGGTATGTAATAAGTGGTTAATTACGAATGCTCTGATCGATTTTGTATTAAGTGGTCTCTTTTATGTAAATTAAAGTATTTTGTTTTAATGAAAGTTTTAAATTCCCGGGATTTTTCTTTAAGAATCAAAGTTTGAAAAGTCAATGGGACATCTCGGACTTGTATTCGGGTCAAATATGAGTTAGGGGTGTTACACTTTCAATTATACGTTGGCATTGCCTTGCTGCTGGTTGATTCTCTTTAAGATACCAAAGCTAATTCCAGGTAAAATCTCAAATGGAAACACTGAAAGAGAATCGGCTTTTGGAAACATTAATTTGTTTGATTTAGGAGGCAATAGCGTGCCCACTAATGCCAGTTTGATTGGTCCTAATCAAATCTTAGAAAATCCATAATTAAATGAATTTTGCATTTAAATCGCGTAATTAGTTGCCGTGTTTTAGGTGATGTTATTATTCAATGGTCATCAAACCAAGGTCTTGCAATTCGAGGGAATCATGGCACATGGCTACTGAGCTCCACATTTGGGACGTGGATATGGAACATTTTCCTCGGAAACTCGCCACTATTAATTTTGTCACGATCAGCCAATGTGATTGGTAGTTGTAGCACTAGTATTGTTATTGTCGAACTCACTACCGCACCGAAACCCATTGTTCTTGTACACATTGTACCTCAACCAAAGGAAGAATCAAACTCTAGATTAATCTTTGAAATTGGGATCTCAAGATAAGAGAAATTAAAATCAAAGCTTACCTCCATTTTGCTAATTCTCCAAAACTGGTTGGAATTAAAGGGATAAAGTGAAAAGTTATGTGGGGATCGTTTTCCACACTAAGCAATCCTTTAAAAGGTGTGTGTGGGGGTGTTTTTTTTTTTTTTTTTTGAAGGCTTCGGCTGCTCATTGGGTCCATATATATTAATCAGAATGCTTCTTCAGTTACGCAAATGTTATGAGTTTGACTCAATCATTTGTCGTGTCATGATTGTAAAATTAATTTGATAAATATAAATTACCTTCACATTTTCCCATTTGCAAGATGTGTCCGAGAGCAGCGGACACTGATCTGCATCAGCACATGCTCATAGAGGAATATATCCAAGAGTTGATACTACAACTTCCTGTAAAAATACTACATTCTATTATAACCAGCTGTCCCAAAATTAAGTTTTGTAATGATGTAATTATAATAAGCACTGAATTTGATACTTTAGTTTGACCTGATCCTAGTTAGCGAGTTAACCACTGCTGAAGCAGAAGAAACCAACAAACTTGGATTGAATTGGATCTGTATTTCAAAACCAAAAAAAAAAATGAAGAAGAAGAAGTAAGCACCTTCTAGGGAGGCCAGTAGTACTAATGGAAAAAAGGAATATTTTTCCATCCTCCCATGTGGCAGACAATCACAGTGCAGAAATAGTCAGCTAAATGGGCATATTATTGTTTTTAAACTTCAAACACAGCCCTTTATCCTTTGTATCACACTTAAGACAATAGTCCCATCCCTCCCCTCCCCTCGTCATTCCTCATTCATTGCTCCCTCTTCCCAACCCCACTTTCCTTTTAAATTCTCTCCCTCCCCCTGTTGCAAATTATTGAAAAATAATGTTGTAGTATTATAATCTAAAAATTCCGTTTCAATAACAAAGTTAAAAAAATTGTGAAATTAAAATAGAACCTATAATCGGATGGAACTAAATAAATAGAAGAAGAGTTTTGTTGAGGCCTGAATGAACAATTTCCTTAAGACAGATTTGTCCTCTCTTCGGTGCTTTGAGTAACGTTGGACGTCGGTCTCCCAAGATACAACAACAAACGTTCACAACAATAAGCACAACCGTAGTGAACAATCAAACACAATCTTTGTTTTTATCTATCACCGAAAAAATGACTTTGGAAGAATCGAAGAATTGAAAGGAAAATATTTGAAAGAAAATAGTAAAAAGTTGTGTTGAGATGTGTCACACCTTAGCCTTTATATAGGAAGAGGAATTTGTATTGAAATGTCAAGACCTTTAAATGAAATAACTTAACCATTTGATTAAAAATTATAACCTTTTGATCAAAAGGTTAACATGGAAAGACATGACCTTTAGGGTGAAATGAAATAACTATTTTTCATGAGAAGACTTAATTATTTTTCATGAATAGTCATGATTGAATAAATCAATTCATTCATATTTTTCCAACAATCCCCCACATGAATGAATTTTGATTGTTTAAAACATTGACTCGATGTGGTGATAGATTCTACGTTCAATATTTTAATAGGATAGGTAGGCATCCCCCTTTGAATCTTCCCTTGTGAAAATATGTTTACCTTACTGGCTGTCCAGTAGACGTGATGTCCTTGAACTGTCCTGTCGTTTGTGTAAGCGATGACATAACTCACACAAATATCTTACTGACAAGAGTTTGGTTCTCATGGTTATGTCCATATAGCCGTGAACATCTCCTGGTTCTGCAAGAGCTTAGAGAACTATGCCCCAATAGTCTCTTTGAAGCGACTCCACTTCACTCTTACATAGGTGACTTATGTTGTTCGGTTCAACGAAACACATATTTGTCATTAAAAGCATTGTTTAACATTATCCACATTTTAGTCACTATTTTCATCATAGGAATGGGCTTGGGGATAAAAAACCCCACAATGACCTCACCAGGTCTATACAAGTATGTTGTCCCATTGAACCTAGATCGTGGGATCTCCAGTCAACTAGGTTGGGTTTTCCTTTACATAGAACCTTAACAATTCATGGGATTTAGTCTCATTCCTCTTGATGTTTTATCAACTTGATCTTGATTCAACCCTTTGGTTAGCGGATCCGCAATGTTATCTTTTGATCTTACAAAATCAATAGACATAACTCCAGTTGAGATCAGTTGTCTAATGATATTGTGTCGACGTCGCATGTGTCTCGACTTACAATTATACATTACATTTTGTGCTCTACCAATTTTTGCTTGGTTATCACAATATATACATATTTTGGGTACATGCTTTGGCCATTCAGGAATATCCTCCAAAAAATTTTGTAACCATTCTGCCTCTTCTCCAGTTTTGTCCAAGGCTACAAACTCAGATTCCATCGTGGATCTGGTTATAATTGTTTGTCTTGAGGATTTCCATGACACAACTCCTCCTCCCAATGTGAAAATATAACCACTTGTGCCTTTGGTATCTTGAATATCAGATATCCAATTGGCATCATAGAATCCTTCTAACACAACAGGATCTCTAGAGTAATGCAATCCATAGTTTCGAGTATATCTGAGATATCTCAATACCCTTACAATTGTTTTCCAGTGTTTCTCCCATGGATTGCTTGTAAATCTGCTTAAACTGCTTACAGTGAAAGCAATATCAGGTCTAGTGTAACTTATAAGGTACATTAGACTGCCTATGATCCTTGCATATTCCACTTGATTAACACTTTCACCTTTATTTTTAGATAGATGTTGACTTGTATATATCAGAGTTTTGGCTACACCAGAATCATCATTGCCAAATTTTTCAAGAATCTTGTCTACATAGTGTGACTGAGTCAATATGTGACCTTCAGATGACCTTTTGATTTGGATACCCAAAATCATGTCAGCAAGTCCCATGTCTTTCATGTCAAATTTTGAATTTAACATATTTTTGGGACATTTTATCATTTCATTGTTACTTCCAACAATGAGTATGTCGTCAACATATAGGCATAGGATTACATATCCATCAACAGTGATTTTGACATACACACATTTGTTACACTCATTTATTTTAAATCCATTTAATATCATAACACTATCAAACTTTCCATGCCATTGCTTTGGTGCTTGCTTAAGTCCATATAATGACTTTACCAACTTACATACTTTCTTTTCTTGTCCTGGAGCTACATAACCCTCAAGTTGTTCCATGTAAATTTCCTCATCAAGGTCTCCCTTAAGAAAAGCGGTCTTAACATCCATTTGATGTACTTCTAAATTTCGTAAAGCGGCAATTTCAAGTATCATTCTTATAGAAGTTATTCTTGATATGGGTGAATATGTATCAAAATAATCAAAACCTTCCTTTTGTTGGAACCCTTTAATAACAATCTGGCATTGTACTTATCAATTGTTCCATTTGCTTTCATTTTTCGCTTGAAAATCCATTTAGAATTTAATGGTTTAATTCCATGAGGAAGATCCACTAATTCCCACATATGATTTTGCATGATTGAATCAATTTCACTTTTGATGGCATCTTTCCAAAAATTACTTTCAGATGAATGTATAGCTTCGCTATAAGTTACAAGTTCAGTCTCTAGCATATAGGTTAGAAAATCTGATCCAATAGATTTTTCTACCCGTTCCCTTTTACTTATTCTTGGCTCTATCTCGACTTCAACCTCTTGTTGGAAGTCTTGACTATTTTCATTAATAATTTCTAAAGTTCGTTTCCTTGAACTTGAGCCAACTTCTCTAATATTACAAGAAAATATATTTTCACAGTATGAGGCATTTTTAGATTCTAATATCGTATTCTTGTGAATTTCTGGATTCTTTGATTCATGCACAAGAAATCGATATGCATTGCTATGGTGAGCATAGCCAATGAAAATACAATCCACTGTTTTAGAACTTATTTTCATTTGCTTTAATAAAGGAGCCATTACCTTTGCAAGACACCCTACACTTTCAAGTAATTGTAGGAGGGTTTCTTGCCTATCCACGACTTATATGGTGTCTTGTCCTTTTTCTTACGAGGTACCTTATTTAAAAGGTAATTTTCTGATAAGACAGCTCCCCCCACATGTTTTGTGACAACCCAGAACTTCCTAGCATAGCGTTCATCATTTCCTTTAATGTTCGATTTTTCCGCTCTGCTACTCCATTCGTTTGAGGAGAGTATGGTGGTGTTACTTCATGAATAATACCATGTTGTGCACAATATTGACCAAATGGTTCAACATATTCACCACCACGATCACTTCTCACCCTCTTAATCCTTTTGTTAAGTTGGGTTTCAACTTCTTGCTTATAGAGAATAAATTTTTTATAGCTTCGTCTTTGCTTTTAAGCAAATATACATAGCAATATTTTGTGTTATCATCAATGAAGGTAATAAAATATTTTTTCTCTCCTCTAGTTTGAACAAATTTTAAGTCACAAACATCACTGTGTATTAGATCAAAAGGTTATGTTTTTCTTTCAACATGTTTAAATGAAGACCTTGTTAGTTTAGCTTCAACACATGTTTCACATTTATGATTATAATTAATGTGAAATGGGGGAAAATGTTCTAAGTTAATTAATCTACGTAAAGTATCATAATTAACATGTCCAAGTCTACTATGCCATAAATTTAATGACTCGATCATATAAACAGAAGAAGAAAAATCATTCTTATTTATATTTTTAGCTTTTACAAAGATAGCATTGAGTTTCCACATATTGTTCAATACATATCCCTTTCCCACAAATATTCCCCCTTTTGATAAAACTAACTTCTGGGATTCAAACACCATCCTAAAGCCATGTATACTTAGGAGGGTCCTAAAGATAAGGTTCTTTCGTATGTCAGTCACATACAACATGTTTTAAAGTTTCAACTCTTTTCAAGAAGTCATCTTTAAAATTACAGTGCATTTCCCCTTGATCTTGGAAGTTGCAGCATTGCCCATATAGAGCTTTTCTCCTTTCTCACAAGAAACCAACTCAGCAAAGGAGTCCTTGTCACAACAAATATGGCATGTGGCACCAGTATCAAGCCATAATTCTCTTGGATTTGAATTAACCAAGTTAACTTCATAGACCACAACACATAGTTCAAGTTCAGATACTTCATTGGAAATTTTTGTCATAACATTAACCTCTTTTGTTCTGGACCTTTTTGGAAGCCTACATTCCGATGACATGTGTCACGTCTTATTGCAATTAAAGCATTTCCCTTAAAATTTTTTCTTCTTAAAAATACCACCTTTTGGTCCTAGTTTAGACTCAATTTGAGCTTGCTTTCTTTTCTTGAAGTTTTTTTCTACTTCCACCACATTTGCCTTGTCAATGTTATGATTGGCTGTTTTATTTAGCCTTTTAGTCGCACATCGATTGTCTTCTTCAATCCGAAGTCTCACAATCAGATATTCCACAGTCATTTCTTTTCTTTTATGCTTTAGATAATTCTTAAAGTCATTCCAAGCAGGCGAAAGCTTTTCAATAATGGCCTCCACCTGAAAGGATTCACTTATAATCATCCCTTCTGCGAGAATACAATGAATGATCAGTTGGAATTCTTGCACCTAATTCACAACAGTTTTAGAATCAACCATTACAAAGTTTAAGAATTTGGCAACTAAGAATTTCTTAGCACCAACATCTTCAGTTTTGTATTTATAGTCCAATGATTCCCATAGTTCCTTAGCAGTTTTCTTTACGTTGTATACTTCATAAAGTGCATCAGACAAACCATTGAAGATGTAGTTACGGCATAGGAAATCAGAGTGCTTCCATGCTTCGGTAATGTTGAATGCGGTTGATGCATCCACTTCATCCTCTCTAATAGCAGGAGGATCATCCTTAAAAAATTTGGCCAGATTTAATGTCGTCAAATAAAACAACATTTTCTGTTGCCATGTTTTGAAATTCTCTTCACTGAATTTTACAGGCTTTTCATTATGACTCATGGTCATAGGTAACGTTTGGCTCACAGCTTGAGTCTGTGTAGCGACAATCGCATTAGACTATGAATTGGATGAAGTATCAGACATTTTTCTATAATCAGAATTAAAACCGAAATAATAAATATAATATGAAACGAAATATATATTAACCTAAATATATTACCACGGTAATTTGTTTGAGTTTAGATTGAACTACAACATAAGGAATCTATCTTAAGATTGTTGCAAATTATTGAAAAATAATGTTGTAGTATTATAATCTAAAAATTCCGTTTCAATAATAAAGTTAAAAAAATTGTGAAATTATAATAGAACCATTAATTGGATAAAACTAAATAAATAGAAGATGAGTTTTGTTGAGGCATGGATGAACAGTTTCCTTAAGACATATTCGTTCTCTCCTCGGTGCTTTGAGTAACGTTGGACGTCGGTCTCCCAGGATACAACAACAAACGTTCACAACAGTAAGCACAACCATAGCGAACAATCGAACACAATATTTGTCTTTATCTATCACCGGAAAATGACTTTGGAAGAATCGAAGAATTGAAAGGAAAGTATTTGAAAGAAAATAGTAAAAAGTTGTGTTGAGATATGTCACACCTTAGCCTTTATATATAGGAAGAGGCATTTGTATTGAAATGTTAAGACCTTTAAATGAAATGATTTAACCATTTGATTAAAAATTATAACATTTTGATCAAAAGATTAACATGGAAAGACATGACCTTTAGGGTTAAATGAAATAACTATTTTTTGAAAAGATTTAATTATTTTTCATGAATAGTCATGATTAAATAAATCAATTCAATCATATTTTTCCAATACCTCTCCCCCTCCCATTCCCATCTTTTCACTTTCACCGTTCAGTAAACCAATAAGGGTGCGTTTTGTTCACGGAATGTAAGATTACTAGTGGGAATAAAAGATTACTAGGGAATAGGATTACTGGGAATGTTGTATTTTGTGTTTGGTTGGTTTAGCAAGAATGTAAGATTACCGTGTTTGGTTAAAGGAATAAAATATTATTGAAATGTATATTTGATCAAATTGTCCTTATTATATATTTGTATAATATTACAAATTGTAAAATATTTATATATTTTCTTTAAAAAATTAAATTTATAATATTTATGTAATTTTTTTTACAAAATTAAAAATATAAAAAAGGTTTAATGAAAAGGTAAAAAAAAATTTAACCTCTGAACTTCATATAAAATTTTAATTATAGATTTTTTTTTATAAATCTAAAATAATTTAAGGATAAATTTATAATTTAACCTTCGTAGAATTTTTATTATTCAATGACAAAAGAATGATATTTTTGAAAAAAAAAAATAAAAATTTAAGGGTATTTTAGTCCAAAATGCCGGTAATGTTACAATACCTAAGGGAATGGAGGTAATGACATTCTCGATAATATACCCAAAAAATTTACTATTGGTAATAAAACATTATCGGGAATGAGATTCCCGACCAACCAAACATGGGAATGTGGGATTCCCACCATCTTTGAACTAAACACTCCTAAAGGGAAAAGGAATCTCTCGTTTCCTTAACTTCCGAAATGCGCCTTCATTTCTCTGAGGCATTGATTTGTGCCACTCTTTTTTCCATTGCCGGGGCTGAAGATCCCTACAGATTCTTCAACTGGAATGTCACCTACGGTGACATTTTCCCTCTCGGAATTCGTCAAACGGTGAGCCTGATCTTCCATGATATATATATATATATATATATATATATATATATGGTTCATTTTGATTCATAAATGATCATGTTTGTGGATCCATGCACGAGAAATTATACTCTTGGTTTCGTTTTTTGCAGGGTATTCTCATCAATGGACAATTCCCAGGCCCTGATATCCACTCTGTTACCAATGACAAACTCATTATCAACGTGTTTACAACTTAGACGTTCCTTTCCTCCTTTCCTGGTAAAATCCCAATCACCAAGAAGATTTTGCGACCAACTTTTAAAAGACGAATCTAACCCATCATTATCAATTTATCCCACTAACATATTTGAGATTTATTACATTTCTTCCCACAACCATCCGCCTTAATCGGCCTCTTAGACACTTACAGAATGTATGCTCGACCGGCCATTATTGCCTTATTTTCTGCTTTCCTAAACGTAACGCTAGAGGAAACATCTATGTGCTTGGTGACATGTCTGGTCACCGGATTCATTGCATTTCTTTACTGTTTGGACACTTTGATTTCCACTGTTGATCGTGGTTATTTGTGGAGCGTACATAACTATCTTTTTCATTATTTAATTGATTAGAATCAATATATGCAAGTAAGCAGGTTCTTCCCTTTTCTGTAATTAGAAAGCGACATATCCCTTGATTTGGAGAGGCAATGGTTACTGTCGTAACCGGTTTTCGTCCGAGCACGAAATATTAAATTTGGCGGGAAAAGTGATGTGAATAAATGGTTTTGAAAATAATTTGGGAGTCACCATCGGCCTTTTGGGTCAGGTTGGTCGAATACCTAAAAAAATATCTTTTAAAAGAGTTTTAAGAAAACATCAATTAAAAAAAAATTAAACTGATCTGCGTTTATAACCAAAAATTCGTTCTTTTTAATAATAAAAAGGGATTCGTGGTCGGTTACGTTTAGGGAAGGATTAGCACCCCTACAACGCCCAAAAATTGGTACTTTTTAATTATAAATTGTCTCTATTATTAAAATTTAAAAATTCAAAAATATATTTAATTTATAATCCTATTATTTTCAAAATTATATTTATTTAAAAATATCCGAAAAGAACTTCTAGGTGCCTTAAGACAGCTCTTTTCTTTGATATTGATAAATATTAATTTAAATAATATTGTTTACTTTTTAATTTTTAAAATATCAGAATAGGACATCCAGTTGTATTAAGACTGTCCTTTTTCTTCAATATTAAAAATAAATATTTTAAAAAAATACTATTTATTATATATTTATAAAAATATTTAATAAAATATTTAATAATATAATAAAAATACAAATACTACTAAAACAATATATATTTAAAAACAATAAAATAAATGAAAACATATAAAATAAATGAAAAAATAAAATTAAAAATCTAATTCATAATTAATCTAAATTACAGGGATTAAATATGTTATTTCTTTATTTGGTGACTAACATAAAATTATCTAAAATTTGGATATTAGAATCAAATAAGTTAAAAATATAAACTAAGGATTAAAATATTATTTATTAAAATTAAAGGACTAAATATGATATTTATCTTAAATATATTATTAATACGGTTAATGGCTAAAATGTAAATAAATAAAATGTAGAGACCAAATTAAAAGGATCAAAAATTTGATTCAGTGACTAAAAGGTAAAGATTACAAATTAAAGGGATGGCGGACGAGATTAATCTTTTTGTTAATTACGGACAGATCCCTCCCCAAAACGGCGTCGTTTGGGGAGGGCTATTTAAGCCCATTCATAGCTGGCCCGAAGGGCCAGCAGCTCATTCCTATCTTCTTCTTCTTCTCTCAAAAACGAGAGAAGAAGCTCTCTCTTCCTTCTCTCTTAATTCCCTCACCGGAGGGAATTCCGGCGCCGATAGCCACCGCCAACCTCACCGCCGGCCACCGCCTCCGGTGGCCGAAAAATAAAACTTTATACCATAATGTAGATCGGATCGTCCTAATGACGATTCCGGTATTTGTTTACCTTAAAAAGCTCTCAATCGGAGCAAATCTTTAAAAATACCTTCGGTTTTCGAAGGTTTGTTGTGGAGCGTGGAGGCGCGTGATTACTCCGGTGGTGGTGTGGCTTTCCTCGGTAAGTCTCTTCTTCCTTTTTCTCTCTTTTTTTCTTCTGATTCTTTGCTGCTGAGATCGTTGGTACTAGTTTGTTTTTTTTTTCTTTCTCTGTCTTTTTCTTCTCCGTTCTCTGTCTTTTTTTTTTCGCAGATGGGTGGTGGCTTTTATAGCCACCACCGTTGTAGCTGTCGGACTGGTCCGAAGAAGGGCTCTCGGTGAGTCACCGGACTACCAGTGGTGACTCACCGAGTAGCCATGGCGTGGACGGCTGGTATATTATCTTCTGGAGTCTTCGGTTGGGACGTGGCAGCGGCGGAGGCGGCGAGATAGCAACGGCGGCCGCGTGTCCCTAGGGTATCAGACCCTAGGGTTTCCCTCTGGCACCATCTGGACCGTTGGATCTTGCCAGATCCAACGGCTGTGAGCTGAGGCGGCTGGGTAAATTAGGGTTAGGAAACCCTAACTGGAAACCCAAGTATTTAGGGTTTCTGGTTGGATTTGGACCGGTTCTGGTTGGTTTGTAACTGGGCCGGTCCAGTTGTAATTGGTCTGTAATTTATTATTTATTTAATATATATTTAATAATAATAATAATGATAATAATAATAATAATAATAATAATAATAATACTAATAATAATAATAATATGGATAAAAAATTAGTATCTTCAGCTGCCCCTCTTTGCTCATTCTTGTGTTAACAAGAATAGAGCAAAGATGAAAGATAATAAATTTTTTTTATCCATTTGGCTTTACTTTGATCATAATGGATATATTGAATAAAATATTCTCTTTCTCTAGATGAGTTCTTCTTATTATGAACTTTCTGCTGGGGATGATGATGACCTCCTTTCTGTGATAGAGTCATTCAAAAGGTTGAATAAGCTCTTGATGAGTTCTTCTCATTATGAACTTTCTCTAGAAAGGCTAATGCTAATCTATCTCCTTCTGTGATAGTATCAAACAAAGGTTGAACAAGCTCTTCTCATTATGAACTTCTTCTTCCTTCTTCAGATGAGTTCTTCTCATTATGAACCTTCTCTGGCAAAAATAATCCATCCAGTGATGAATTCAAACAAAAGGTTGAACAAATTCTTCTCATTATGAACTTCTTCTTCCTTCTTCAGATGAGTTCTTCTCATTCATGAACTTTCTCTGGCAATGTTGATCCATCAAATGATGAATTTAAACAAAAAGTTGAACAAGTTCTTCTCATTATG